GATCCCAAAATCGTTTAAGTTGTATTTTATGTATCAACTCTCTGTTTACATTATGTCACGGAACCAATGCTTGAAAGCAAATACATTGCTAGTAGACATCATTAAAATATGATTTTATCATATTCCAACCAATAAATTAATGTCTATATCAAACAACCATCATTTTTTAACAAAAAAAAAATGAATTTAGAACATAAGAATAGTTGAGTAACCATTTTGTAACTTCTAATAGTCGTGACTCAATAAAATAGCGCTCTATAGTCGGGGACCATTTATACATGTCACCCTATTTTGTTCGTGTAATTACCGATTCCAAGACAACTCCCCCAAAACTTGAAGGAAAATTAATAATAAAAATCCTAACTTTGATTGAAACAGGATGTTTATAGAATCATGCAAGCGTATCCGTTTGATGAAATGCTCGGAGGCTGCAGTCTTATCCTCAGGTAATTTATAAGTATACATGAACAATAAGATTAAATATTCTATATTAATTTCTTTGATGAATGGAACTTTGCAATAATGTTAATTTCATTTTATATAATTGACGCAGAATCAAAGGATTCTTCTACTTGCACTACAGAATGCTGAAGCCCAGTTGATCGGATGGTGTTTCTATGGCTTCTTTGAGTGTTTTTCTGTTTTTTCTCTTCTTTTCTCCTTAGATTTGGTGGAACCCTTGTAATTATGTAACATTCCACAACTGAGTGCATGCTTTAAGTTATTGAGCACTTAATTATTTTAAACATTTGAATATATTCAATTCTATATTTTTCATGTATAATCATATCAACTGATTAAACTAAATTTAATTAATACTTTTGTTATTTTTTAATTATTTTATTCTAGTTTAATCATTACTTTACTCACATGGATTTTTTCTCTCCTCATACGCGCCGCTCACTCTTAAACGTAACATATAACAGTAAATGCAAGATGATGCATTTTAATAAAAAGTACAATTAAGCATTCCACGTTTACTGTTGTACGATGATAAATATTTATTGTAATTTTGAATATTTTTTTAGTAAGACTAGTTATCTCTATTAAAAAAATTCTCAATAGACATACAACAATAAATGCAAGATGATATATTTTTTAAATAGTGTACAATAAATAACAAATACAATTATGATGTAACAAAATATATTCTACAATGTCTTGATTTAACTAAAAAGAGTGAGAAGAACGAATCCTAAATAGCTCTGAATTAAAGAAGGGTTACTTGCAACTGAGAACGTGTTTTTCTCCTTATCCATCAGAAAATATTAAATTTTTATATATTATAATTTTTTTTAAGAAGAATTGAACTGTAAACGACCGATGAAATAAATTTGTTTCTATCAACAATTTTGACATATAAATAGATATAATAATCTTATTTCTGACACTACCAGCTAGAAGCATTATAGATATTCCTAAGCCAAGTATGAGAGGAAGGTCAAACCTTTTAAAATCTATATTCAATCTCCACTTTCCAAATCCTTTTCTTCCATGAAACACTTCTCAACAGTTATTTCTTCATTGATTAAGATTTTATATTCAAATTAGAAGAAAAAAATTTAACGATTGACGGAATAAATTTGTTGTCATCAACAATTTTGTTGGTTATATGAAGTTTCTATTTCTAAATATATGCAGGTAAGCTCAACTTCGGCTGCCCTTCACCGCCACTGCCTCCACCCCTATTTAACTTGTCGGACCGTATGGCTTCTAGGAAACTCTTTCTCTTAATGCAACTTTGGCATTATTAACTAAGGTTTGGCTATTTTGTGTTAGGTTGTACCTTGACTTGGTGCGGTGATGGGAGCTGTAAAACAAACGAGAGTTGCCACCAATGCGACTGTAACGATGGCTCTGATAATTTTCACCAAATGCCTGCCTTACCCTGCTTCAAACCATGTAATTTCTTTACCAAATTACGATTACTAAATAATAATAAAAACCACGAATCTAAAGCTTAATCAGCAAAGACTGACATTTAACACTTTTAATCTAGATCGCTTCAGATGCTACAGGACCGGATTGTGATGGTGTTGGTCTGGGTGAACCACCAACGCCGGCACCTGAGCCGGCTTTATCTTCCCATGGTAATTACGTTTTACTTCCTTTTCGAGCTAAGCCTAACATTTTTTAGGTTAAACTACAAAGATAGTCCTTTGACTATAGGATACTTTACCTTTAGATCACATAAGGAAAAAACTCTGATAAAATGAGAGATCATAAACTTCAATAATAGTCATCAAATTAAACCAACCCCACCTTAAAGAATTTTCCTTTGAAAACTTCCATCATCCACAAAATCAATAGTGCCTTAGGGACTTGGCGCCTCAACTGTGAGTTCAAGCTCGGTGGAGTTTTGGTTGATGGCAAATTTTAAGAGATTGTGGTGAGTGATTTTCAGTTCAGTGAGGTGTTGATGGAGCTCAAATTAAGGATGTTGAAGGGTTTCCTTAGGCGGTTAAAGAAGAATGGAGGGGTTATGGAAGAAAGCAAAGGGGATAATGATGGTGGCAAACGATGGTGTGAGGGTTGAATGGTAGAGGTGAGAAGAAATTAATAACAAACAAGTTTTAGAAGATTAAAATGATATAATACTTGCATGCATATGTGGGCAAAACTGGACTTGGAAATTTTGATTTTCGACTCGACTCGATTTAAAAAAAAAAATCAACTCGATTTGATTTGAAAAAATTTCAATTTCGAGTTGAGTTATACAATAGGACTCGAATAACTCAAATAACTTAAAAATTTCAATAAGTAATTGATTGATTTTCAAGTTCGAGTCAAGTCCCTTAATTCTACATGATATATGCATATCACATATGAAGAAATATATATGTATATCTTATATGCTTATAGAAATTGTTTAAATTATAATCAATTAGTATCATAACATCATTACAATTAAATTTAAACAGAAACTCGAACAACTTGACTCGATTCGACTTAATTCGAATTTCATAAACTCGACTAGATTAAAAAAAAAATAAAGTTTGAGTTATAAAATAGGACTCGTCAATTTGAATAACTTGAAACTTTTTGACTCGATCGAATACTCACCCCTACTTGCATGTTAAGAGTTTAATTTTTATAATTAGGACTAAATTATAGCAATACAAAAGTTAATAATATCAATCTTGTTAATTGTGACATTATCTTTCTGTCTAAAATCTTAATTTTCATTGAAACAAGATGGTTATAGATGGATGGAAGTGTATCCATCTCAGAGGCAGCTCAATATGTAACTTCAGATAATGATACGTGTACATGAACATTGAATCATTGAATATGATTAAATATCCTATATTTTGTTTATAATCTTAATTTCTTCTTTGATGATTGCAAATTCGTAACAATCCTAACTTGATTTGATTTAATAAATGCAACATCACAGGGTTCTTCCACTCCAAAATGCTATAAAATATTAGAGGTATTTTTTTATAATATATCATAAATTAAATATCATTCAAAATTATAAAATTATTTATAGTGCTATTTTTAAAGAATACATATATTTTTTTGGATAAAGTATAGATGAGAGTATAAAAGAGTCAAGGGATTGATGAGGAAAAAAAAGATTTTATGAAAAAATACATTCTAATAACAAAATTAACAAAAATGTAACGTTGAAGGACTAAACTTAGAAAAAAGAATAATTTTTTTAAAAAATAGAAATAGAAATTATATAAATATTTTGTAGCAACAGTGAAATATAAAATTAATACGAAGAAAGAAATGAAAAAAATAAGAAACTATACAAAATTGTGAGATTAATTGGTAGAAAGTGGTGACAAAGTGGGTTTACTTCAAGTCTCCCACTACCCTCTTTCAACCTGCACTATCAATCCGGTTACCAAGTTCCAAACTTTCATTATATCGTATGAATAATTTATTTTTATTATTATATTTTTTTAATAAATTGATGTGTATTTTATTGATTAATTGTCACCTTTAATAACAGCTTAATGATTCAATATCATCTTTCATCGTTAAGTAACGTGATAAATAAATAACTGATCAAATATGAACTCGAGTTGATACTCGATACAACCTAATTACTATAAATCCGAACTATATCTAAATCACATCTGATCTAACCTGAATCGAACTTAAATTAAATACAATCTAGAGCTAAACTAATCCAACATAATATAACCTAATTTGAAATCAATTCTAACGATCCGATTATCACCTTAGAGTGCACCAAGATTTGTTTCAACCATTAAATTCACATATTTAATGACCTTGTAAGCTTAAAATATCAAAACTTTTGGAGGAATATTGAAATTCTTGATACGAGTTACATAAATATGACTATTGTCGAAATTTCTCCTTAAATTGAGAATTTTAAGGTTCCTCTTGATGAAATTTGAATTTTTATTAATGTGAAAAAAATATAGTTCAAGGAATCATCATCAATCTTTGTATAGGATATGATTGGATCACCAAAAGATTTGTCATTTTAATGAAATTTATTTTAAATAAAATATTAAAATAATAATTTTCTGGTTTGCATACTCAAAAATCAGATTTAGAAATTGATTACACGTGGAAAAAAGTTAGCACCTCACAACTCCATATATTATTAAATCGTTGTCTTTACATTAAAGAATTTACGAATTTAAATCTTGATTTAATTAATGATCCTTACTAATAAATAAATGAATGAATGCTACAACTTACTAATCCTTACTTAAAAATTTAAAGAGAAAAACAATAATATTTAATTATTTACAATTTTGGATAAAAAGATCTTTCAAACATTTAAATTATTTTTCTAGCACCCTTTTACATTTAGTAATAGAAGATAACAAAATATTGGGTAGAATCCAGGATGGAATTGGAAATCTAATCAATTTGGGGGTGTTAGGGGCATAAAAAAATCAACTATCATGTCCAATTCCCTTTGATATTGGTAAGCTTCACAAGCTGAAGACCTTCTACGCCCAGGCAAATTCTCTCTCTGGGACTATTCCCCATCCTGTTGGAAATTAACAATGTTAATCAAACTTGCTTTAGATTTTAACTATCTCCAGGGCATCATTCCTTCAAGTTTAGGTAAGTGCCAAATGTTTCTTTATTTGGGTCTTTCTAATAACAATCTTAGTGGAAAAAGACCCCCTCAAGTACTTGGGCTCCCATCCTTGACCATTACACTAGACTTATCATCGAACAATTTGACCGGTGAGCTTCCTGTTGAAGTAGAAAAACCAAAAAATCTAGCTGAATTTGATGTTTCTCAAAATAGATTATACGGTCTTCTTCCAAACAACCTTGGTAGCTGCATAAGTCTAGAGAAGCTGTTCTTGGAAGGCAATTTGTTTCAAGGGTCCATTCCATCATCTTTGAGTTCACTGAGAGGCCTTGAGACATTGGATATATCTGACAATAATCTTTCCGGTGGGATTCCAGAATTTCTTGTGAACCTTGGGGCATTGAAGCATTTAAATCTCTCATTCAATGATTTTGAGGGAGTGATTCCAAATGAAGGAGTCTTTAAGAATGCAAGTTCTACATTTGTTGAAGGAAATAATAAGCTTTGTGGAGGCATCCCTGAGCTACATTTGTCCAGATGTAACTCAAAAACATCCAAAAACAAGTTAAAAATTGCAATTGTTGTTGTGATGTTAGGAGTGACTTTTGTTTTCACTTGTCTCCTCATCTTGTGGTTTAGAAAGAAGAAAAAACAAAATCTAACATCAACTTGTGTAGAAAATTCACTTTTACAGTTATCATACCAAAGCATCTTAAGGGCTACTGATGGTTTCGCCACGCAGAATTTGATTGGCTCAGGAAATTTCGGTTCTGTATACAAAGGAATTCTCGAAGAGAGTGGAGAAATGTTGCAGTAAAGGTGCTTAATCTTCTAAATAGTGGAGCATCCAGGAGCTTATTGGATGAATGCGAGGCCTTGAAGAACATTCGACATCGGAATCTTGTCAAGGTATTAACAGCTGTTTCGGGTGTTGATTACAAAGGCAATGATTTTAAAGCCTTAGTATATGAGTTCATGGAAAATGGAAGCTTGGAGGACTGGCTGCATCCATCTGTTAGCATTATTGAACCTGAGACAATGAGAAACTTGAACTTCTTCCAAAGAGTTAATGTGGCCGTAGAAGTTGCTCATGCACTGGAATATCTACACCATCATTGTGAAACGCCGATCATTCATTCTGACTCAAGCAAAGTAATATTCTACTCGATGTCGAGATGGTTGGCCATATAAGTGACTTTGGCTTGGCAAGAGTCCTTTATGAAGATAGGTTTAACCATCCTACTAATCAGTCAAGCTCCCTTGGCATAAGAGGAACTATTGGTTATGTTCCACCAGGTAATAACATTGTATTCATTTCCTCTGCAATTATTTAGAGGATTTTGCTCCTGTTGTTTGTATATATAATCTGTGATGAATTAATTGTAGAATATGGCATGGGAAGCGAGCTGTCAACAAATGGTGACGTGTATAGCTATGGTATCTTCTTACTAGAGATGTTTACAGGGAAAAGGCCAACTGATGAAATGTTTAAAGAAGGTTTAAGTCTTTACAACTTTGTTTCGGAAGCTTTTCTCGATCGAATGATTGAGATTATAGATCACATTCTTCTTCAAGAGAGTGTGATAGGAGGAACAGTTGCAGGCATTACTCTCAATGGAAACAGTCTGGGAAATGACAATCTTCAATGCTTGAATTTGATATTCGAAATTGGTCTCACTTGTTCTGCTGAATCACCAAGTAAGTGATGGGGATAGATGATGTTGTTACCAAGCTTTGTTCTGCTAGGGACAAGCTTCGTCGTCCAACTCGATGCCGTCGTAGGATTCAAACGTCATACGCTATTCAATCATCAGGTTATGATGTTTTCTTGTCTTAGCAAAATATTTGATCATTTCATCACTTAAGCCACATTTACATTACGTTTCAGATGAAATGTTGTGCTTAAGTAAATCCTTGTTTCATAAGTTGCAGGTATCTAAGGTGTAGTATGGATGAACTTGAGACCCTTAGGTCTGGAGAAGTGGTTGTTGTTCTCTTTTGTTTACATTCTGCTATGAGAAAAGAAATCAAATATGGAGTTGTTCCAGTTTTCCACCAATAATTTGTCAATGTAGTATGTATTAATATATCTCTTCTTCTGTCTTAGCATCATAAACTCCTTTATGGGAGGTCTTAGAATAAAAAAAATTGTTCAACCTGGTTGCATGTCTACTGCACAATTTCATTAAATGTTGCATGTCTAATGAATAATAATCCAAGCGCACTTGCTATAGTCAATAGGGGGATCCATATGGAATTGCTAGTCACATGACTATCAACGTAAGAAAACATAAACCGATTGAGTGATTATACATCTTTTATCCTTGTTTATGTGGTCATAGATGTTGCTCATGCAATATTGCACCATGTTATAAAACATCCATCATTTATTGTGACCTTAAGCCAAGCAATATTCCTTGATGAGGAAATGGTTGCACGTTTAAGAGACTTTGTCTTAGCAAAAATCCTTTCTGCAGACAGCCTCAACTATGCTGCTCACCATTCAAGCTCCTTATGCTCTACATAGCAAGTTCACTTTATTAATTTCTTTCATTATTTCAAAAAATACAATCTAAAACAATTTTTATTATTATTTTGACTATTTCCCTCTGAAATGATTTTTATATGTGATTTGTGATGAATTGATTGTAGAATACTGCATTGGAAATGAATTGTCTACAAAAGGCTATGTATATAGCTATGACATCCTCTTACTAAAGATGTTTGTGAGAAAATAATAGATATTTTAGAATTTTGAAGATATTATTTTATTTGTAAATTGGCTGTTTAAATAATAAATTATAGTTTTATATTCTACTTCATTAGACTTTTAAAACAATATATAATATGCTCAAAACAATTAATTGATGAATCAAAAATAAATACTCAAAGTGAAACTACTTGCAATAATGTTGAGAAAATTTGAGTGCTTAAAACACTTTCTTCCCACGTGGGAAACCTACGAGAGATTGAAACATGTTTATAATTAAGAAACAACTTGGTGGTTATTTAATGTTCAATATATGACTTTGTCTTGTGCCCTAGCATAGATTGGTTGGGCCTGTGGGTCTTCCAAAAATTCACCAAGGTTGTACTTTTAAGAGTGAACGTTTGTTATTTTATCCTAGAGATAGTCATCCGATATTCTCAAACATTAGGGAGAGGATAGATCTACCAAAATTTTAGTCCATGTAATTTATTTTTTTTCTTAACAAAATATCTTTTATATTTGATAACGATTCTGAAATCAATTATCATTAAGACATGTGTTTTTAAATTTTATTAACTGCAATTAATCTCGTTCTATAAAAAAAGGTTGGTCAACCAGTTTAAAACACACAAAATACATTATATTCGAAAATATTTTCTGGTGATAAAAGAAGGCAAGGTTGAGTTTGATTGTTCACCAAGGTTGTATTGACAAGGATGAACTTTTGTTATTGTATCATGAGAGATAGTCGTCCAATGATCTCAAACATCGGAGAGAGAGTGAATTTGTCTTAAAGAGACTTTTTTATACATATCTCAACAAAACACCGTATCGATTCGATAGTGTTTGATACAATAGGTAAGATGTCCTGTTACTATACAAATTTCAGTAATTTATAATCGAAATTCAGTTTTATAGTTAAGTTCTTCGTATTTTTATTTTTCCTAGTAATCTATAATTTGGATTATATTGCAATTATGGTAACAATGTTCACAGGGAAAACCGATGAAAGGTTCAAAGAAGATTTAAGTCTACTCAATTTTGTTAAGGCAGCTTTTCCGGATCGAATGAACGAGATTATAGATCCCATCCTTCTTCGAGTGTGTCTGAGAAGAAACAATCGTAGACATCGCTCTCAATGGAAACAACATTCGAAGTGGCAAACATCTTAAGGGCATGAATTGTTTTTGTACTAAACATTATGTGCACAAATACAAATTTATCAAATTACATGAGACTTGAGACTACAAAATTCTAAATATGTTTTTCTCCACCTGCAGTTAATCAGAATTTCATTTGATTTTGTTTCAAAGTTTCCGCAACCGCGTGTCTGATTTTATGATTAAATCTCCATATCTCTGGTTTCATGAACAATATTCTTTTTTGTGTGCGTTGCTTAACATTTCTCGACAAATATCATTCCTTGAAGCGTATTGACCCAAGAACCAGAAAGAAGAAATCGATTTAGCATATTGAAGCGTCCAGTTCTTTTTTTCTCGTTTGCTTTCAAGTTGTACTTCTTCTCACATGGTTCAACTTGCAGGGTCTTAACTCGCTTGGTATACCAGCAGCAACCCCTGTTGTTAGAGGAAATGACACCGATCAACCAGCTTTGCTCCAATTCAAGGCCAAGAGAGCGAGTGAACAGCTCAAGATTACGGAGCCTTGGAATAGTTCGAATCACTTGTGTCAGTCGCAAGCATCAGAGAGTCACCAAGTTGAACTCAAACTCGGGATCTTAATCACCATACATTAGAAACTTGAGCTTTCTCAGGGAGTTAAGTCTACTCTAGTGGGAAACAGCTTCTACAACCAGATTCCTCAAGAAATTGGTCTGGAAACATTAAACCTCACCAATAACTCATCAGTGGCAGTACCGGCGGAACTAATTAAGACTATTGGGGTCGTGGACTCCCCAAAAATATTAAAAAAATAGAATATATATTTATATACGGTATAAGTTTCGATTATATAATGTAAAATCTTATTTTTTCAGTGAATATTTTTCATTTTCTATTGTTAATCTCAGTCATTTATTTTCATTCATCCAATGACCCTAAATCTATATAAAACTAAAAGAGTTTACTAACCCTAAAGATGAAAACAAACTCCAAATAGATCCGGACCAAAGCTCCAAGCAAGCTTAGTCGGTCTTGGAAAAAATCGAAGTCAGCAATACTAATCTCAACATCTTCTACCAACCCTGTAGCTCACAGACCTTTCCTATTCAGATCCCATTACATTACACATGAACTATACATAATTGTGTATATATATATATATTGTTGATTTGTCATTCTGTTCAATCTCATAGTTTACTCCAAAGACGAAACTTTATACTTGCATTTATGTCTTTCTACTTTTATCGTGGTTGAGTAGCTCAGTAGCCGATTCTGCATCATTCAATGTAAACCTACAGCCAGGTGAAAGACGGACTATCTCAAAATGTATTAAACATATCTTCTTTTGTTGTCCACCAAACATTCATTGCTTCCACCCATGATTTGTGGTGCAGTTAACGGTTGAGCCATCGTAAACTGCGTCCAAGGGAGTTGCAGAGAAACAGATGGTTCATTGTTAGGTTTCGAATGCGACTGCTACCCTGGCTGGACCAAGTACCGACTCGGTCCTCGTCTTTCCCCCATGCATCATCCCCAACTGTAACACCTTCTCACACCCTTCAATTCATTCATTTTTTACTTCTTCATATCAAGTTTCTATTTTTAAAAACATGTAGGCATGCTCAACCTTGGCCGTGGGAATGGGAGTCCTTCACCTCCGGCGCGCCACCGCCGACGTTTAATTTGTCGGACCGTATGGTTCTTAAATAGAAAGCTTTTTCTCTTAGTTCAACTCATTATTGATTTGCTATCAGCTAAGGTTTATTTCAGGGTTAATTTGTGTTAGCTTGTACCCTTACTTGGTGCGGTGATGGGAGCTGTAAATCAAACGAGAGCGGCTACGAATGCGACTGTAACGATGTCTCTGATAATCTGCTCGATATGCCCGCCTTACCCTGCTTCAAACAATGTAATTTCTTTACTAAACTATTGCTACTTCAAAAAATTATAATGGATACAAAATTTAATTAATTTTTCACATAAAAATTATATTTAAAGATTTTTATTCAATCGGTGCAGGTTCTTTAGGAGTGGATTGCCATTGCCATGGTGTTACATTGGGTTAACCGCCACCTGCAACATCATCTTCCCATGGTAATTATACCTTACTCAAAATTATAGATGTTGATTCACTTTCAAAAATATTCTCTGTCTACATCTGAATTTCCTTGTCTAAATCTCAACCAAAATCCCTATTCATTATCTAAGATAAGGATAATATCACATTTGCTTATGTAATTTAACAAAAATATGTAATATGAGAAATATATTTTTAAAATATATGATGCGATACGTCTTCTTTGACTAAATATTCAATAAAATATATGATGTGATGATACCTATACTTTATCAAAATATTCAATATGATACAAGAACTATCATTATGTGTAGTACTGGTACCTAATTTTACATGGTAAGTGTTGTAGTTGAACTATCATTTCATAAATGATTATGATATTTGTATTAATACCGTTAATAAGTGTCAAATCAATCAATAAATATTTATAAATATTTGGGCATAAAACTATGATTAAATAGTAGGAGGAACTAAATTGCTTAACTTTAAAATTAATAGGGACCTACTAAGTATTTAATTTTAAAATTAGGATGACACGACTTAATTTTATAAGTATTTAAACTAGTTGAGACTAAAATTACTAGTATTAAACAAAAAAAAATTGGGGGACTCGGCCCCCTCCCACTCCTTGCTAGTTTTGTCCTTGCATGTATTATAATAATACACAAAATGATTGTTCAAATATTATATTAGATATTTTTTCTCAAATTATATGGACTACATTAGAGATTTTGTCAAAGTACAAGTATCAAATTAGAAAATTTTAAAAGTAAATATACCATATTGAATAATTTACCGAAGTATAAATGCCAAACATGATCTTTGCTTTTAAATACTATAAAATTAAATTTTTTATATTGTCTTCCCGGTATTTATATATTTTTGTTCATCATTATTCATTAGACGTAACTTTCCAAACTTAGTCAATCTTTTATAAGTAGGGTGGTAAATGAGACGAGATAGATTGTGTGTTATTTGAGATTAATTTGGTTAAAGTTTGATAAATAATATACTCGAATGAATTCGACTCGAGTTCTTAACGAGCCAAAACAAGTTATTTGATGCTTAACTAAAAAGTTTGTGAGCAATTCGAAAAAATAATATATTAAAATTTTGTTTTTAGAAAATTAAATTATCAATATTATTAACATTTATGTGTTCATTTTTTTAAAAATATACAATATAAGTTTTCATGAACTTAATGTTCAGGTTCGAGTTTGATGTTCAATCGAGTTAAGTTTAAGTTTTTCTTTTATTTAGAGCCTTTTCAAGTTTTATCGAGCTTTAATTCATGATTTTGAGTTATCAAGCTTGAAAATTTTAGGCTCGCGAATTTTTGAACCTAATCGAGCTCTATTTTAAATTTTTCGAGTTGAGTTGAGCTCAGCAATACTCAAGCTCAACTTGACTCATTTATCGCCCTACTTATAGTGTAATATTATCTTACATCATTGTTTATGGGTAAGAAAATTTTGACTCAAAAACATTGAATTCTTTAAATTTTAAGTTATTTGAGTTATTGTCAACTCGAATTATCGAGTCGATTTTCAAGTTCAAGTCGAGTTGGAATTTAAAAATTCGAGTCAACCAGAAAACCAAAAATTTAACCAAGTTTTTTTATAGTTTTGCTATTTGGTCTTCTATTTCCTTATTTCTTCAATTCTTACTTCATTTTAAGTTTATTTTTTTACTAAATTTGAGCTACATGCTCCTAAACCATTGTAAAATACATATGTATCTTCAATTCCTAGTTTTTTTTATAACGAAATTAATATTTTTTTTCAATTCATCATTCATTTTAAATTCAATTTTACGAAATTTAAACCACATACTCCTATACACTATATAATATCTATGTAACTTCAATTCCTATTTTTAACTAAAATTTCTCTTTTTCAATTTATTCCCTTAGCTTTATATTTTATTCAATTTAATCTTTTGACTGCACTTTTTTTTTGTAAATTCTTTCTTCTAATTAATTCATTGACTCATTTATACTCTCATTTATAGTTTATACTCAAAATAAATTCTTTGAAAAATAATATTATAAATATATTTTGTAGTTTAAGATTGAATTTGATTTATTAAATAATATTGCAATGTGAAAAAGACTATGAACATATATATATATATATATATCATATGGTTAGATAAAGTTGATAAATTATAACCAATTTGTACTATAATTACAATTAAAGTTGTATAGAAACTCGAACAATTCGATTTGATTCGAAAAAATTTTAAATAAAGTTTGAGTCATAAAATACAACTCGTCAACTCGAATAACTCAATTTTTTAACTCTACTTGATACGATCAGATACTCAATCATACTATTATTTTTATATATTAAAATACTATGTTGAATTTTATTTGAGTTTATTATATATTATAATATTATGTTTAATTTTGTTTTTGTAATTTTCAATCTTTATTGTAGGATGGGCTTCCACGATCAAAGATAGTTTGAAAACGTGGTTAATGTTGGTTGCTCTGTTTCATCAATGTTTATAAAGGTGATCGTACTGTGAGGATTTTCCAACTGTTACTAGACCCATTGTAGATCAAACTATATATTATTTATTTTGTGGTTTCTTTTTTTATATTCAAAATTAATAAAATAACAATTATCAAATGGAATTTCAATTTTTTTATTTAAAAAATTATTATAATTTTAATTATCATTCATTAAACATAGTTTTGTTTTTTAAAATCAATATATATATATATGAATAATAATACTTAAATAAATAATTCGTACCCTCACCCATGAAATGAGTGCTTTCTTTCACTAATTTTTCACCCATGAAAGTCTTAAATATTTTTATTTTGTTTAGAATTATTATACTCCTTTGGATCTTTTCAAAAGTAATATCTTCATTGTTATTTCTCTAACTGTAGAACGTTGAGACCTCCAGAATTCTTCAAAACCTTCAAAATTCCACTTCCTTCAAAGCTCTATATCCTTTAGAGATCTATATCTTTTAGATTTTCTTGAAACCTCCGAAATTTCATATCTCCTAAAAATTAACATACTCTTAAATTGACTACTAGCATACTCATGTGATTTATCAAAGTTAAACCTACTATATGAAAGTCATGCCATTTGTCTAATGAAGGGGTCAATATACAAGTACAAAGGATCAATATAAAAAGTAGTCATGCAAGGCTAATGAAGGAGCTCCCTCTCTCTCCCTCCCTCCCTCTCTCTGTCTCCCTTTATACATTTGTCTCTTCACTAATGTTCACTATCATGTTTAGCCGTTTACCCTCTCCTACCTTCTCAACTATCGATCGTCTCTCCGTCGAAATCAAAAGGGGTGAAATACACGTAGTCGATATACGCGTTAATGACATACAAACTAGTAGACATTAATATTTTAATTAACATTTATCTTTAAAATAATTTTCTTTAAAAAATAAAGGATAAAATTGATTAAAAAAGTAATATTAAAATTTTCATTATAACCAATTAATTTCGCCCCATCTATTTGTCTTATTTATTAATTCAATTAATTACTAGATATCATCCAGCAAATATTCTTTATTGTCACACTCCACCATACATTTGTAGGACTTCCACTTGCCACATTAATGAACATACCATATAAACAAAATTCAAGCAAGACGGCGGTTAAAGAAACTGTCTATATATGTTATATTCTTACTGACCAACCCTCATTCACTACAAAGTTCTCATCTCTTTTTCTTTGATATGAATCCCACCATGAAAAACCAAACCCAAGCCTTCCACCATCTCCTTCCATTAGACTTCGACAACGTTTCTACACTGCCTGACTCTCATGCATGGTCGACAAAAATTGACGATATGTGTCACCTCCTTATTGGCGACGGTAAATCATTGCTGCCCATCATTGATATCGGCGAGCCGGATGCGTATGACCTCGTAAGAGATGCCTGTGAGCAATGGGGAGCTTTTCAAGTCATCAACCATGGCGTTCCGTTGAGTTTATTTTCTGAAACCGAGTTCCAAGCTCGGCGGCTGTTCTCGCTGCCCAGGGAACTGAAGCTGCTCGTTGCACGACCACCATCGGGAATCATTGGATATGGCATGGCCCGTATCTCATCCTTCTATCCTAAGTTGATGTGGTCTGAGGGTTACCGCATGATGGGGTCACCAGTGGAACATGCTCGCCAACTTTGGCCTCAAGATCATGCCAAATTCTGGTACGAGCGTTACTTTGCATGCTCGCCAAATTCATTTTGTCTTTTATTCTTTCAATTTTCTGTTTGTAAAATCTGTTACTTTATTTTGTCTCTTTTCTCAAATAATTTGTTGGTGCTTTTGGGTTTTGGTGCAGCGAGGTGATGGAACAATGGCAGGAAAAGATGAAAACTTGAGCGAGAAAATAGTGGCAATGATGCTTGGCTCATTGGGTTTAACCCATGAAGAAGATATGCAATGGTTCGAACCCAAAAATGGGAGTGACCGAACCAAATGTGTGCTTCAACTGACCTCGTACCCAGTGTGCCCCGACCCTGACCGAGCCATGGGGTTAGCCCCTCACACGGACACATCCCTCATCACTTTGCTAGACCAGGGTAACATCAATGGCCTCCAAGTTTATAAAGATGGTGAGGGGTGGGTCGCTGTTGAGCCAGTGGAGGGAGCCTTGGTGGTCAATCTTGGTGATTTGATGCACATTGTCTCAATGGCAAGTTTAAGTCCGTCTTGCATCGTGCGGTAGTGAATAAGACGCACCACCGCGTGTCAACTGCGTTCTTCTATGGGCCGCCATGGGATGCCAAGGTCTCACCGTTGCCAAAGTTGGTTGATTTTGATCATCCGAAGCTGTATCGGTCGGTGATGTGGGAGGAGTATCTTGAAATCAAGAAGTGCGACTTTAGAAAAGCACTTGAGTCAATTCGTCTTTGAAATTTAGATTAAAAAAAAGGAAGGCAATGAAATGTGATATCGTACTATATATGAAAACGATGAATAAAACGATTAAAGTATTACAGATTAAATATGACAATATGAGAATTTGATACAAACATATAAATATTAAATGATCACCATAAGAGAAATATTTATTTTGTATTCTATTAGATAAAATAATCAACCCAACACGAAATATTTAATTTATATTTGGGTAAACTAGATCGGATATCATCGAGGTTTAGGTATCGTATCATTTATGCTACTGAACTTTCAATTTTTTCACTTATATCACTGAACCGTTAAATCATTAACGGCACGATGACATGGTTGACGGATGTCGACGTAAACACCTAACCAAGATTACATCGTTTTGATCCGACCGTCAATGATTTAACGGTTTAGTGGTATAATTAAACGAAAATCAAAGTTCAGTGTTATAATTAGTAAAATTGAAAGTTCAATGATATAAACGATACAACGTCTAACATTCAATGGTATTTGGTATAGTTTACCCTTTTTATTTTATTAGTATTGAACATAGACCAATTCTGTATCCACCCACAACGATCTTCAAATCGACAATGAACTCCATGTTCAAGTAAACTATGCCTGAGGGAACAAAGCATGGTGTTTAAAGGGTTAGTTTTAATTTCTTGTATGATGTTCTTCATCGGGGTTCAGACGTCATATGACCGGAATTCAAGTTCGTCGGCAACCCGATATCAAAGCTTGATGCAATCACGGTTCATTCTTTTTAACGTTTATTTGTTGAAATTTAACGAAAAGATGAAAAGGAAATTGACAATTCAAATTCAAATTCCATTGCTGTACTTAGCCACTATTCTTATCAAATTTCCCAAAATGGCTGAAAACAAAGCTAGCAGCCGTCATGACTTTTCGAACTTTTCATTCTCTCCATTTGTCCCTATTTTAGCGAAAAGCAGTTTTAGGGGGTTTTAAAATCGAATATTTTAGTGCTTTATCATTAAGAGAACTTATTCAGCAAATAGTACTTTCGGGGTCTTTTTTTCTTTCCATCTTCTCGGTCTCCGTGGCCGCGCTTGAATAGAGATTCAAGTGATCTCCGGTGCCTGACGGACATTAAGGTGAGTTTTTTCCCCCATGGGGTTTTCGATTAATTTCGAATTAATAGTCGTTTATATTATTGTTTCAGACTTCCATTGTAAATTGTGATCATGGTCTTTTCTCTTAGTGTTCTGTCTGAATGATTGAAATCATTATCTTGGTTTTATGCATTCCCCACAATCAATGCTGATATACTATGTACAATTTATGAATTTGATGCGAAATTCTGATTTGGGTTTGCAAATTTCTTGTTAGTTTTTTAAGAAAAGCAAAATTCCTTTGGCCATACATTTAATTTATCATTTTGAACTTAGGTTTTGAAGCTTCTTAGGGTCTAAGATTGCCTCAAATTTTACTTCTGAAGAGGGGAACATGAATAAATTGGTGCCATTTTTGTTGTTTTTTAAAGAGCATGTAAAAATTTCTGGTTCAAGTTTACCTTTGAGAAGTTATACATTTTTTAGTGTTTGGATGGTTCTGTTTGTTGCTGGGTTTTAACTTTTAAATTCTCCTTTATTTTGACTCTTTTTTCTGTAGTTGATGTGATACAATTGGTTCAACCTTTTACAGGGATAGGTTGGCTGAGAAAATACCAGGACTTCAACAACCTTTGATCGGATCATCGTCTCAGAACCTACCTGATTTCAAGAAATCCGTCAAGCTCAAATATGTGAAGCTTGGTTACCATTATGCAGTCACTCGGGGAATATACCTATTCCTTTCCCCGCTTGTCATTGTAGTTGCCGCACAACTCTCGGCATTTTCCGCCCAGGACCTTTATGATTTTTGGGAGCATCTGCGATACAACCTCATTTCGGTTATCATCTAATCAATGCCTCTTGTTTTCTTGTCGACCCTCTATTTTGTAACGCGCCCTCGTCATGTTTACCTTGTCGATTTTTCTTGCTACAAACCAGATGAATCTCGGAATGCACGAAAAGGATGTTCGTGGATCAGTCTCAAATGACTGGTACATTCACAGAGGAGAATCTTCAGTTTCAGCGGAAGATCCTCTAAAGGTCAGGGCTTGGGGATTCAACGTATCTTCTGGAGGCTGTCCTCAATATACCACCTAATCCACCGATGCAAGAAGCTAGGAAAGAAGCAGAGACGATTATGTATGGTGCTATTGATGAGCTTTTGGCTAAGACCTCTGTAAACCCAAAAGACATTGGAATTTTGGTCGTGAACTGCAGCTTGTTTAATCTGACACTGTCGCTGTCTGCCATGGTTATCAACCATTACAAGCTTAGAGGGAATATCCAAAGCTACAAGTTGGGAGGGATGGGATGTAGTGCAGGTTTGATTTCAATAGATCTTGCTAAAAATGTTCTTCAAGTCCATCCAAACACGTATGCATTGGTTATCAGCATGGAGAACATCACCTTGAACTGGTGCTTCGGGAATGATCGATCAAAACTTGCTTCAAACTGCTTATTCAGGATGGAGGGGCTGCAATATTGCTCTCAAATAAAAGCTGACAGAAGAAGATCTAAATACCGACTGTTTCACACTGTTCGAACCCATAAGGCTGCAGATGATAAGTGCTTTGGGTGCATTACCCAGGAAGAAGATTTGACGGGAGGATCGGTGTTACATTGTCAAAGTATATCATGGGAGTTGCTGGTAATGCTTTAAAGACCAACATCACCACATTGGGGCCACTGGTTCTTCCAATGTCCGAGCAGCTGCTTTTCTTTGCTACATTGGTTGGAAAGAAGCTCTTCGGAATGAAGATCGAGCCATACATTCCAGATTTCAAGCTAGCTTTAGAGCATTTCTGCATTCAAGCTGAACGAAGAGCCGTTTTGGAAGAACTTGAGAAGAATTTGCAGCTTTCTGAATGGCACATGGAACCATCAAGAATGACTCTTTACCGATTTGGGACCACCTCTAGCAGTTCTCTTTGGTATGAATTGGCTTATTCGGAAGCCAAGAGTCGGATTAGGAGGGGTGACCGAACATGGCAAATTGCATTTGGTTCCGGATTTAAGTGTAACAGTGCTGTGTGGAAAGCTTTGAGGACAATAAATCCAGCAAACGAGAAAAACCTATGGATGGATGAGATCCATAACTTCCCGGTCGAAGTTCTAAGGGTATATCATCCATCTAAATCCCAGAATGACTACCGAAGATCACAGCGAAACTTTGGATGGGATTTATACCGCACATTTTATTGTTTGTTTAGAGATCAAGATATCACAATTGCATGCAATGTCAGGGAGATCTCATTTATCGCTTATATAAAGCATTTGGGTCTAGTCTACATAATGTAAAATGAACCAAAGACTTGAATTATGCCGATTCTGTCTATACGTGTGATATGAAAAACTACATTGATGATATTGTCTAATGGGTTTATGCTTGCGAAGATAAAGCCCGAAATCAACCTTGTTGCTCGATCTCTGTTTCTTTCGCTTTGATCTTGCTATCTTCTGTAATGTGTAAACCACCGATCTTGCGTGAAATATCTTCTGTGGAAGGCTTTACCTTCCCGATTGACCCATGTGCTGCAATCGGTTCACTGTCATGTGTCAAAGAGCCTGTCTGCCATATTCTAATGGTTCCATCCTCGGATCCTGAGGCATATGACTCCCCTACTGGTGAAAATCGCACACAGTGTACCGGACCATGGTGACCCTTATTGCACGCTGCAGACCAGAAGTAAAATCGGTGATTCCAGGAATGTATATGGTACCATACACAAGGAAATGGGAAATTCAATATGACAAAAGATAATTGAACTCGTGCACTAAATTTACAGAACAAGCTACAGCCCACAAAATCCATTACGCTAATCAGTATACTTTAAGAGCTAAAGTCTGATAAGTTTGAGAACACACATACCTATCTCATCCCCGGTGTGGAAATCGAAAACACGAACCCACATATCTTCTCCTCCAGCAACAAATTTATTTCCATAAATCGGTTCCAATGAAGCTGATTCAACTGTGCATGGCATGTTGTACCTCTTTACCAACCCAAAGCTGAAACAGAATATAATAATCAATAAAAGCAGATAGTCTATCACACCAGAACACAATCTGGCTTGAAAGTTTAAACTTACTGGTTTGCATCCCAAATCTTAACCATACATCCATCTGCAGTTGTGATATATCGACCATCTTGACTCACTTCAGCACTGGTCACAGATGATTTGGTCTCTAGGGTTTGAACTATTTTACCACTCCTTACATCCCACAATCTGAAAGTTGCCGATATTCAACATGGGAGGCAGAAACATAGGTGCAAAAGAAAACCAAGACGACAATTAAGACTCCACTGATAACAGCATTTTATGGATACTCAACATAGTCAATACACCGACAGAATGCTTTAAATTAAGTACACATTGAATCAACAAGCCAACAAACATCCGGACTGCAACAATAAATAATGGATCTGTTTATTTGATCTCAAAACCTTGAAATAATAAAAGAATCAAAGCAAAAATGCTTACTTTTAAAAAATAACCTACTAGACATGTTACAGAAATTACACAATAAAACCTCCACATGAAAGAAGATCGATACCTGACACCGCCCATATCAGTGCAGGAACTTAATATTGTCTGGTCACTATGCATCCATGTAGCAGTTCTGACTGAACCAGGTGATTTGTCTACTTCTCTTGGAGGTGCATCAGGACGATTCAAATCATAGATACGGAGGACTTTCTCAACTCCCCCAGTCAATAAAAGGAGTGTATCCTGCCATAAGATCCGAAAATCTTGAATGTGATGAATAACTTAGAAACAAGAGATAAAACAACAGAAAAACTACCAATTAGCGGTACTTGGTCAAAAGAAATTATAAAGGTGCAACTAAGAAAATCAATCCATAACAGAATTTTACCGTTGATGAGCAGAATACCTTTAAAACAAACTCAAGTATTGCTATTTGCAGATAACAAGCTTTACAAGATCCTGAATTCCCCTCATTTTATGGTTTTCCATACTGAGATGATAATATCAACCTTAAGGCTTTATCAGTTTAAAACAGGTCCTCCTATATCAACCTTATGATAGTTTATAGTATAAACAACTTTTTATCAGATTGATGATTCATGAGCTTGTATAGCTGTCGCCATTAACACCATTATTTCTTTCATTTTATATGTACATTCCAATAATTCCCCCAAGTGAACTGAATGGAACCATTGACTCTACCTCTGAAAAAGCACAAGCTCGAACTATATGTTTGTGTTCAAATGAGTGCACTACGTCACCTGTTAGAGCATCCCACACTTTCCTGTACGAAAAACATTCCAAAGGATATGTCAATTATTTTATCAGTGAATAACACATCAACAAACAGCAGACCCAACACAAGATCACAAAATTCAAACTAGTGCACGTGAGATTGAAGCATGGCGGATATCTAGGGCATAGCAGCAGCATCCACTTAGGTGTGATAGTATATATCATCTGAGAATCAACAAGGCAACAGTAAAGAGGAATATGCACGAGAAAAAGAATATCGGAAATGGGAAACCTAGTTACATGAGACAGTATTAAATATTCAATCTACATATAAACATTTGTCCACGAGGCTTTTCAGGTGTTCCAAGACAATATTAAATATACAATCTACATATATATTTGTTGATAAAATTCATGATAAAAAAAATAACAAAATCACCATTTTTATTCAATAAGATGCTAAAGTGGACGGTTGACAAATTCCATCCTAAAAATAAAAGGCAGGAAATAGACCGAATCCGTGAATTCATTTCATGGAAGTTCAACCATACCTTCATTTTACATGAAAAATATAAACCATATGTTAATTTTGATTCTAAAATAACAAAGGATTCCTTTTTCCATGTGAAATAGGCCCATATGAATAATCATACTCTTAAGTCTGGACAATTCCTCAATATATTGTGGAAGAAGGGAATTGAACATACGCAGAAAAATCAGCAGAAGCAGAAGCAGCACGTAAAGCATTTGAATCCAAGCAAACACTCCACACAGCACCCTTGTGGCCTTCAAAGGTTCCTATCCAATCTCCAGTTTCCCCATTCCTCAGCATGGGACACGAATCTGAACCAGACAAGTAAAGCCTCATTTTTATGAGCATGAGATCAATATCAAAGTATCCCTCTATAAAATAGTTCTACAAACAGTTACATCGAAGTTATTATCACCATTAACGTACATATAATGAAATCAAATCAGTAAAATATATTTAATAAGTAAACAACAAGTCATAAAGCATTACGCAAGAAAAGCCCCATTTCTATAAGCATGAGATCAGTGAAAAAATATAGCTCCACAAAACTGCATATCCCTCATAATTCTATGAAGAGTTATAACGATTTACATATATATGAAGGCTTATAAAATGGAACCAAATCAATAAAACACAGACTAAATCAATTATAAAGAATATTAGACGAAAATAATCTAAGTTTACAAACTAAATTTATAATTACCTTTGCTCCCACTGATGAGAAAAAAGCCATCAGGAGTAACAGGGCTGTAAAAGAGATCCACAACAGGACGTGAATGGCCATGGCATAAAAGAGAGACCGCGACCTTTTTCTTTTCCATATTTTTCTTCGTTTTACTTGCAAACAAAACGGGGGAAGAAATCCCTAATCCTTAATGATCTTCAAACAAGAAAATATAAACTTGAAAGTGATAACAAATCTACACAAACCCAAACAATAAAAAGACAAACTGGGGTTTTTTTCTGGGTATTCTTTGAGGGGTCAGATATATATATATAGAGAGAGAGAGAGGAAAAAAACGAGGAAAACAGAAATGGCAGTAGTTTAATACAGGCAGGAAGACGCTTCGGTTTAGAGGAAATTGGATTTGATGGCGCGAATCCACACCTCCTAACCCTGGGCTCTGAAAAAGATGATGAATGGGAAATGTTAGGGGGAAAATCAAAGGCATAGGCGCAAGGAAAAACGTGCAATCGATCCCATTTTATATACACACAACAATGGCTCACTTCAGGCCAGAATTTTCCCACACTGAAAAATTGAGCTAGCCCAACAATTTTTTTTATTTTTCATTATTGGATAAAGTATCATAGGACGTTGTTATATTAGTTTATCGATTATTAAAAGTTATATAATAGTTATTTATAAGATATTATTTTGTTAAATTTTTTAATTATTAAAAATTATAAAATGATCACTTGACTATTTAAATATTTTAAATTCATCATTTTTTTTTGTTAAAAATTGATTATCATCTTATATTGACATTAACTTGTTGATTGAGATATAATAAAATATTATTTTAATGATGTCTATTGGCATCGGTTGTTACTTTCAAACACTGACTCAATGACATAATATTTCAAGCACTGACTTGATGTCATAATGTAAACATAAATTTGATCTATAAAATACAATTCAAATGATTTTGAGATCAGATTTTATCATATCTCAGTGAAGTATGTTAACTTGCAGTCGAGACTACTGCTAATTTTTAACAAAAAAGGACGAGTTTGGAACATATGAATAATCGAGTGATCATTTTGTAAGTTTTAATAATTGGGAGACTCGACAAAACAACTCTTATAATTAGAGATCATTTTGTAACTTTTAATAATGAGTAGATTCAATAAAATAATGTCTTATAATCAAAAAATCATTTGTGTATTTTACCTTGTAATAGTAGGTTTAATGTGCAGTATTTTGATTTTAAAAAGATTAAATTGGTTTTCCTACTAATCGAATAAATCCTATCCTAATTATATCTGTTTGAATTTAGGTTTAGTGAATTTTAGATTTTTATACAAATATTTTTTTATCAAATTAATTCATTTAAATCTTGAATTTGAGTTTCTAATTAGACATTCATTTTTAATAAAAAAAATCATCCAAATGTGAGATGCCAAACTATTAGTTATTAGATGTTAAATATGTCATCTTCATTCTTCAATTCATTCGTTGTGATTTAGTGATGTCAGGAAATTATGATTAAAGACATAAAATATAAATATTTATATATTTTACTGTCACACTTAAATAAAAATAACTCCTTATTACTATTATTAATTTTATTAAAATATTTTTTATTAAATACGAATTTGAGTTAATTTTTTTTTAAAAATGTGATCCCATTGATGAAGCTACATAACGTCTAGGAGGGATTATTGTTCCTTCTAAAATTTTTGGTATAATAGTATTTTGGGTCTATTTTAAATTAAATATTAATTAAATAAAGCATTCTTATCTCCTAATTTTTGCATCTAACTATTTAATATATTCTTATTCTTTTGATATAAAACAAATTTACCTCTCTCAATTTTTGATTCTATTTCCATCCTTGCATTGTGAGTCGAAAAGTCTTTAAGCTTTGGAGGTGGGCCCTCCTTTAAAGCTCCGCTTCGGATATGGATTTATTCATAGTTCAAGGAAGTTGCCACCAATCATTGTTAATCTGTGAATGTGATTGAATTACCAAAAAATTGTTAGTTTAATAAAATAAAAATAAAAAACAAATTGAAGTCTGCTTACTATAAATAATTCGAGAGTCGAATACGTGTGGAGAATGATTTATTCTCCACAACACTCTTTAGGTACTTGATCAATTAAGACGTTGCCTTAAAATGAAAAAAATAAATAAATTCCAATTCCAATTTAACTAGTGATCCCTTAGAAATAAAATTCGCTTATAATTTAAAAAGGAAATAAATTTAATTAATAATATATAAAATGTTATACAAAAATGTGGTAGTCTAATATGAAATAAATAAGTAAAAGAATTAAACTCATCTACCATAAAACTCCTAAAAAGATTTAAAAATATTAGTAAAACAAATATTAGTAAACAATAAGTAAATAAAATAACACGGATAAATAGAAAAAGTGAAGTAATGGACTAATATGGAAACAAAACAAATACCAAGAGTAAAATAATAAATAAAGATAAGGACCAAATAAACATATTAAATTTAAAATAAGCTAAATTAAAAGAAAAAACAAAAATCAATGGTCTTGATTAAAATAAACATGAGAATAAACAAATAAAAGAAAAATAGTTAGAGTGAAATACTATGCATACAAACTAATCTAAATTAAATATAATTAAAAGAATTGGACTAACACAAACGAAAAAGAAAGTTAAATAACCAGATTAAAAGGAATAAAAATGTAAAAAGGACCAAATCGAGTTTCTAAGGAAACTACAAGGAACCGAAACTGTGATTTCCCCAAACCCATAAGCACAAATATCATTTTTAAGCCAATTTTTCTTCTTTTTTCTTTTCTTTCTTTTTTTAAGGGAAAGATACTCCCTCTTCTCTCTGAAGGTCAGTCACCATTCTGTTATCCACAGTCGTCAAGATTACCGTCGTTTGTATAAGACTCCGAATTTTGGGTTAGTAGTTTCGAGTTTACCTGAAAAATATGTGGACCATGTGGAGTTGACAATTAAAATTGTTGGGCCAAATGTGGGCTTGAATGAATATAAATTGAGCCTGACAGTTATAAAAAAAGATTTTTACATAAAAAGTAAAATACAATGGACAAAAAGTGTAATTAGACCATTAAAAAGAGACTAATATCTTAGGATTTTATAGAGTGAGTGTGGCTTTTGGGCACAAAAAATTGAAGAGTTTTTTGTCTATTCTCTTCATCTTCATCTTCATCTTCCTCTTCTCTATTTTATTCTTCCTAGTCATTCATCAAGTTACATAGATCAAAGGTAAATCTTTTGGGCATATTTTAAGTTCCTTTTAAACTCAAAATTCATCCTTAAGCCTTCTAGCAACCTTGTTTTCATGTGTTGGCTAAAGGAAACGGGTGGTGAGCATAATAGCTCAAAAGGAGAATGAGATATCAAATGTATTAAGGAAAGGAATTTTGTTTCGGGATTTTTTAATTAAGTATTGTATTTTTAATCTTTTATTGTGTTATGACTTTCCTAGGCGTGATGCTTTGTTGGGAGTTTGAGTATTTGAGCATATTGGAGATTTTGCTGGATTCAAGCTTAGATGACATTTTAGTGTAAAGATGATGCTTTTCATAGTGCTAAATGACCCTAAATAATTTCCTTAAGCTTTAGAACATGATTTGGGACCAAACACTTTGGGAGGGTTTTTGAGTGATTATCGAGTCTAATTTTAGACTTTCTAGGTTGTAATATTGATATCATTCATATTCTAGGTCAAAATATTGTAGCTCAGTTATTTAATTTTACAATTCTCTCAAATTTATTATCGAATTTTACATAAAGTGAAAAATTGCGGATATCATTCAGACATTTGATCCTTTGGCTCCCATGTGGCCTCTTTGAAATTATGATTCTTCCACAAAATCTTCAACTAGTGAAATTCTCTTATTTATGAGTTTTTTGAATTTTCGAGCCAAAATCTAAACATATTTTTCTTTGTCTATCAAGTCTGAACGAATCTTCACATACTTAAACTGAACAATAATGGAAAGGTACAATTGATGTCACTGAAGCATTGAAACATAAAATACAATATGAATCATGTTCAACTATGATGGTAGAATTCAACGATAAGCCACTAGACTGATCGATTAATGAATAATCGAGTGATAATTTTATATTTTTAATAGTCAAGAGATTAAATAAAAAATTCTCTATAATCATAAAATTATTTTATAAATTTTAATAATCAATCAAATACAATGAGTGACCATTTTTATATTTTATTTATAAAAAAACACTTTTCCTGTTTTTAGAAAGAGGGTTGTCATGCTTTGATTTTTATTTATTTATTATTTTTACAGAGCTTGAGGTGGAAGAGAGAGAGGGCGTTTCTTTCTAAGATTACGAATTCAAAAGAAAAAGATTGCCGAAAATATCTTTATTTTCTGTTCACACGATAGAAGTGGACCCAGGGGAAATTGATCGGACGGTCAAGATGCTATAGAAGATGGGAGGAAAGATATGGGAGTAATCTTATCTAACGGCAGAGAGATTCGCGTCAATTTAAAGCCGAGACCCTGAAAACCCTCCTATAAAACCCTTGATATTGCCGTCTCCCCCAAATCACCGCTTCTCCTTCCTCTCCATTTTCTGCTTTCCTCTAACGCTAGCTTTTGTTACTTCGATTCTCTCTGCTGAGTTTCGTAATCAATGGTGACTCTCTCGCCCCTTCTCACTCGTTTTTACGTTTTAGTTTGTTTTGAATTCTGAGCAGTAATATATGGTTTTTATTTTTTAGTTTGGTATTTATATTCCTGTTTCTTCGTGGTGTAGGCTTTGCCTAACCAACAGACTGTTGATTATCCAAGCTTTAAACTCGTTATCGTCGGCGATGGCGGCACTGGTAATTCACTTTTTCTCTTTGCTTTTGGATCGATTTCTATGTGTTTTTGTACGATTAGGATTAGATTTTTCTTTCGTTTTTTCACTTCCAGTTCAATTATTTCGATTTAAAATTATTTTACTTATTAAGTGCATTTATGTAAATGGTTAAAATTTGCCCATGTATACTGAATGGTTCCAAACAGCCCCTAAATGATTTATTATTAAGAAGATGCATTGTTTTGAACTTGATCGTGTTATGGAGTGCAGGAAAGACCACATTTGTGAAGAGGCATCTTACTGGAGAGTTTGAAAAGAAATACGAACGTCAGTGACAATTATGTCTTGAGAAAACCTTTCAGTTTGATTAGCTTGTTTCAGCTTTTAACTTGAGTGCTTTATCATTTTGATTATTCAGCAACAATCGGTGTGGAGGTTCACCCTTTGGACTTCTTCACTAACTGTGGGAAAATCCGATTTTATTGCTGGGATACTGCTGGACAGGAAAAATTCGGTGGTCTCCGAGATGGTTACTAGTGAGTATATTATCACGGGTTCTGTTGAGTTTGATCTAATTGATATTTTGTTGGCTATTCATCATGGTACATGAGTTTGCTCTTTATTATTATTTATAATTGTTAGTAAGTATTCCATGTATGGTTCCTGTAACCTAACGTTCAAAGATCTGTTTCTCTTTGTTGATTTACCAAAATTGTTATGTTCATATTCTGTCACTTAACTGTTATTGCTATTATTGTATTTCGTTTTGCAGCATACATGGGCAATGTGCGATAATTATGTTTGATGTTACTGCACGCTTGACATACAAGAATGTTCCTACGTGGCACCGTGATCTTTGCAGGTGTGGGGAAGTTTTTAACTTGTATCATTTACAGTTTCTTTTTTTGGTTTTGCGGAAAATCTTACATGACCATGTTGTCTCAAATGCCAGGGTGTGCGAGAATATTCCTATTGTTCTATGTGGTAACAAGGTTGATGTGAAGAACAGGCAAGTTAAGGCAAAGCAGGTTACATTCCACAGGAAGAAGAACCTGCAATATTACGAAATATCGGCTAAGAGCAACTACAATTTTGAGAAGCCTTTCTTGTACCTTGCCAGAAAGCTTGCAGGGTATTGAACTTTCCCTCTCTTGTACTGAAAATGTTATGCCAAATTCTTTAATTGGTCCCTTGGTGATTGCAGTGATCCTAATCTTCACTTTGTGGAGTCTCCTGCTCTCGCTCCTCCGGAAGTACACATTGACTTGGCCGCCCAGCAACAGTAAGTATCTCTTGCCGAAACTTATTATTTCGCATTCATCATTTTATAGTGCTGTTGTCAGCTATGTTATCTGAATTTGATCTCACAAGGACCTGCATTTTAATCCATTTTTGGTGACAAATTATGGCAGACATGAAGCAGAGCTTGCGGCAGCAGCGAGCCAGCCTCTTCCAGATGATGATGATGATGCATTTGAGTAAAGAAGAGGTGGAACTTTTTCACTGGCACTGTCTGATTATGTTCGGTGTTTGTCAGCTCTCGAGTACAGCTACCGTAGAGACTTTGCTTTTTCATGTTTTTGGTTATTGATTGTGTTTCTGATGGATTTTGCTTCCAGTAAAATCCCTTTCCTTTATATTTTATATATGCTTTGAAGCTGATCCTACAATCACTCAAAAAAGACAAGAAAAAAGTTCCCAACAAATTGGTATGATCATAATTCATTTATAAATTAAGCACAAAAGGACTTTTAAGTGAGAGAACATGTAGAATGCTTTGCCATAAATATGCATAATGTCTTATTGGGCTCCGAATGATAAATTTAAGATTGCAAGTGATAAAGGCACCACTTTGGAATGCGCATAAAGTTGATGTTTACGAGTGTTGTTGGATTTAGGGCCAAATTGAACTACAAAATGAAAAACCCCAGTTTTAGTCCCCCCCTCAATTGACAAAAGAGCATTGTTCCAATGGGTGTCGGTTCGAAGGTCGACCCAATATAGCAAAAATCGTTGTCGCGTTGGATTAAAGAAGCACTATTAAATGCGTCTACATGGTTCCAAGAAGTGGGGCAAGTGGAAGCTGGTCTAAGCCAATGCCACCATGCTTGCTTAATTTTTCACGAAAATGGGACCCGCTCTGGTGAATTCTTGGCTATTACTATCGGTGGGTGGTCGGAGCTTTTAGGTCTTAGGGACTGTGAACGAACGATCTCTTCAAAAGTCGTCTTTCATTGTTGTTGTCCTCTAAATTGGGTTCTATTTGTCTTCCTACTCACTGTTATTCTTTCATCGTAACAACTCCTCACTGTCTTATCTTAATGCTTTTTGTTTTTGTCACTGAAATTTTGTATTTAGGTGTCATTACCGTAGCCCCTACTATGGTAAGAGATCCTCCCTAATTCCGACTCAAGAATGGTGCAAGATCCTATATTCTTGGAAAATTCCAATATCCAAGTGACCATTGCTATCTCTAATCAGCTCACCCCACCCCTCTAAATTGGGTTCTATCTGTGTTGAGTTTTACCCATATTGACGTTGGTGGCACCCATTTATGGCTCCTGATTATGTGTGAAAAGTTGGAGGAAAATATTAGATTTAGACTAGTTTAACTTAATTATTTTCTTTATTAAATAGATTAATATAATTATATACCAATACAAAATAAAATAAAGATAGCTTTTCTGGAAAATATAAAAATTTAAAATTTGAACTTTATTCTCAACCAAGTTTAGGGGTAATAAAAATAATATTGATTTGATTTTGATTAAATCTAAGTCTCGAGTTTAATCTTAACGAATAAAACAAAAAATAGTAATTGATATTTTGAACAGTAACAACTCTGTAAAAGTAATATTTTATTTGTATAACTAATTTTCCACCTTCAGAATTACATGGATAAATGACAACCGATCTTCTTATTTTCATTAACCCAATCATCGGAGGAAGTGTAGTGTACACAGTCGCAATATTCTGACGATTGTCCGTCCATTATATAAGACTTATTTGTTAAACTTTGAGTTTTAATGGACTTAATTAAAGTGAAATTAAATATTTAAGGGATTAAATCAATCATATAAGGATTTGTGTGCCTACAATAGAAAAGTAGGAACCAAACTGAATGTAGATAAAAGTAGGGATCAAACAAACATTGAAAAGGGATTTCTAATTAAACAAAAAAAAAGGGAAATATTAAAATAAATCTAGAAATATATGTTCAAAGAGTGTTGGCACAAGTGGTTGAGATTCATGAATTTGAGTTTGTAAGGCCAAGTTTGAATATTACCACCATCACTCTTGGTGGGCAATCTGTAAATTACAATGTAAATCCCAATTGGGTCTTAGGTATGCCATGACCCTGGATTGGGGGAGCCACCTTTGACCTAAACTTTACCCAAAAAAAATCTAGAAACATATGAATGCCATGGATGAAGCTTATAATGTGCCAAGGGCTAAAACCCCCTTTAAACCTCAAGCTTGCTATAGATCACATTCCATGGAAGATGTGGAGCTTTTCTTAAAGCTTAGAAGATAGAAATCAATAATCTTACATCCTGAATCACACACAGTCACTATAAAGCTTCCTCTTTTAAATTTATAGAGCATTATGGCTTGATGAAAGAACAGATGAATGAGAAAGGAAAAATGATAAAGAAAAATGGGGTGGGTAAGCTAACATTAAGCTTTCCCCCTGTCTCTCATGTAACAGAAGTTGGGTCCCTCCTAATTTGATCTCAATTCATATATTTTTTTTATGGTCAATTAAACTCGATTCTCCCCCCCATTAGACCTACACTTTGACTAACATATCTAATTATGCTCTCTCATCAGTTTATATATCTATTGAGTCAACCTTTAAGCGTCGACTTAAAATTTTGAATTATCGCACATCCGACTCAGATAAAAAGTATTTACACATAAAACTTATTCATCTTAGAAGGGGAGTGGATGGCCTCGTTACCTTCTATAGGTAGCTAACTCAAAAAACAATTATTTTTTAATAATATAAAAATGAGGGTCACCAAAGTATAATGTGTTAACTCTTCTGTATATTTATTTTTGTACGAAAAATGTCCACTTGTTGTTTGATTTTGTACTTTTTTAAAATACTTGTACCATAAGATTATGATCTCACATGCTTTATACTATATTGTATGTGGGAAAAAACCACTATTGAGTTGGTAAAAGATCAATACTTAAATTTTTATCTTGTTGGTAAGTTTAGATTTTCTCAAAAGAATGTGATTGCAATATCATCAAAGAGTTCTTCATGAATGATTAAAGGTTCTTCTTCTTCTAATAGAGGCATGTATGACATTGTTAGCCTTTTATTTAACCATATTGAGTTATTTTGTTGTAATATTGTTTTCTTGATAATTGAACTGTCATAATCAGACTAATAAACTCTATTGATGAACAAACTTTTATTTCTTGGTTGGATTCGTTCTGGTCAATGTGTCACCGATCATACCTTTTTAGGATGGGTATAAGGTATTACATAAACACCATAGACGTCGAAATCCTCTTGAATAATTAAAGTGATTGGATCTACTTAAAATAATTAAATGTAAAATAATTAAATGTCAAAATCATATCAAATATATTACTACTTTAAGCAATCGGAAGCGTGAATAATTTTAGTCGTAAAGAATTGAAGAACTCGTAATTCGTGAAGAATTAAAATTAAGAGCTCGATACATTTGTCCCTGTAGTAGACCTAACTTATTATATCTGTCCTTATCGTATTTTCGCATTAATTTAACCCTTGAAGTTGCTCAATTGCATCATTCTATACCCTACTCCTCACTTAAACCCTAAATTGAGGGGTTTTAGTCAGAGATTAAGGGTTTAGTATTTAGGATTTAAGGTTTTTAGTTGGGGGTAGGATATAGAATGATACAATTAAAAATCTTTAAGGGTTAAATTGATACGAAAATACGATATGGGCGAAAATGATAAAATAAGTATACTACAAGGGTAAAGGTGACCAATTAACCTAAATTTAGTATTGAATTTAAATTATAAATACATTTGGTAGTTTTCGTAAAATTAAATATTGAATCTAGTAGACTTTTTTGATAAATATAAAATTTAAAAATCATGTAGTTAAAAGAAAAAAAATGAAAAAAATGTTATTTTTATATTAAGTGAAATAAAAATGAAATAAATGAGATTAATGGTCTCTCTCTATACATACATAAACCCATCACTGATGGTGATGTGACATACTGATGAATCACTAATTAAATTATCCTTATTAAATAAATATAAAAAATATATAATAACTTATTCACAGTTAATCATTTATTATTATTTAGTTTAAATTTTAATAGTAATATAATTAGATTATTTTTTTATTAAAATTATAATTTTTTTAAGAATTTTTATTTGTTTAGGATTGTATCACTTAACTTATTTAAGTTTGTAAAATCATCCTAGAGCAACCATCAAAACCACAACCGACGATCCTATATTTGTCGGAAAATCGCATTCTTCAACCTACACTATCGTCGTCAAGAGGAAACCTGTCTTTGTCTTCACCAAAAGTCTCCCACCTCGCCTTGAAACACTATTTGTCACAAAGACACCGAATTCGAAACCAAACCAAGCAACTCCACGATCTGTCCTTCCATCCTCAAACCAAGATAACAGAGTGTTGGATCTCAAAAAAGAACAAAACATAACAATTTTGTTAATGGCACTCACTGTCGAGGAAGTTTGTGAAGCCCTTTTAGAAGGTGTTAAAATTGTTGCAATTATGGTTCAAGTTGCGTTGATCTCAAAGACTTGAAATGTCCATATTTTGCACAAAGGTCATTGATCCTAAAGACTTAAAATATCCATAGTTCGATGATGAAGAAGAAGCATATGATTTTTTTTTAAAAATTAATTGCCATTAATATTTTTGTAAATGAGTTAATGGAAGTTAACGACTGAGTGACTAAAACCTAATGGATCGATAACGAAGAGATCAAACACATTTATTTTTTGAATCGTTGACCGAATTTGCTGAGATCGAAAACAAAATGGATTATTCGTATAGTTTACCCTTTTAATTTTAATAAAAAATATAATCTAATTATATTCTTATTAAAATTTAAACTAAATAATAACAAAGGATTAATTGTGAATAGATCGTTATATTTTTTTCATATTTATTTAATAAGGACAATTTAGTTAGTGATGTGCATCAGTATATCATATTAATGGTGTGTTTCAGTGTGTGAAGTGCGCTCTAGACTCATCTATCTAATTTAAGTTTCTATTTTAATTTCTATTAAAACTCATTGAGTTAAAATGTTCAAATAAAAAAATCAGAAAAACAATAAAAATGAAAAGGAAAAAAATGGTTTGAAAGCTGAGTCAGTCTAATCTAAACATAAATTGAAACTCCTTAAGTTATTGTTATATTTTGTGGTAAAGAAAGAAGAAAAGAAAACATTGTAACAGTTGAGTTATGTTAGCAGGGACGTAGGAAGGGGCACATGGACCCATCATGTCTTGGGTTTATTAGGACAAGATTAGGAAATGAGCCTTTGTGTGGGTACCTCGGTCAAGTTAAGCATATTTCCCCACATCAAACAGCAATGAGAACTCCTAAAATAGACACCCTTCTTTCCCATGTGCACCAATTTATGACTTACATTCCAAAACCAATATAACACCCCCTTTTTATCTCTTTTTCTATATATAAACAAATTAAAAGATGTTGAAACTTTTAGTATTTATTAAATATCATTTTTAGATATATATATTAATTGGAGTAAAATTCAATTTTATCTTTTTTTTTCTTATTATGTCATTTTCTCTTTATTACAAATTCATATATATTCAGAATTTTTTAGTCAATCGATAATGAATATATGCACATCCTGCAGACGACCAGAAGTAGCTGATTGAACCCAAAATTTTACAAGAAAATAATATTTCCTTTTATTACTGAGTTGCTTAATCGGTTTGAGTTAGTTTAATTTTTTCCTTAGATATTTAAATTATTTTTTACATATTTATAAAAGAATCATTATACAATAATTATAAAATAATAACCTAAGTTAAGCCCATCAAGTGGTCTCCGTAATTAAAGAGAACATTGTTCTCCCTAGTTGTCTTTACAGACCGCATATGCGCATTATTAATGATTAATTTTTTTTAAACCAATATCACTTTATAACCGCCTCCATTGTTAAAATATAATAATAATAATAATAATAATAATAATAATAATAATAATAATAATAATAATAATAATAGAATTTGAGATATAAACTTTATAGTTCGTCCATGGATATGAAATATATTCAATTATTCACAATTAACTATAGTGCATGTGGCCCCATTTCTTTCTCTCTCTTTTTAATTTCACTTTCTGACTTGATAACTACTCAACCCACAATTTGCTAAACAACTCAATTCTTTTCGTTTTTCCTCTCCCCTCAAATGAACATATATAATGTATATTTACAGATAATAGGTGGAACCTATTCATGTTAACTCAACAAACGCTTCACATGTACAGATGTACTTATCGTTTACTTGTATATAAAATTATCCTCTAATGTTGCTAAATACTTCACAATGAACATGTGATGTGAGGGGGGATTTTGATATGGGACACCCATTTTAATTCACTCTATAATTTAAGTTCATCAATGAATACAATTATGGAGTGATTATAAAGTAATATTTGTTTAAAAAAAATTTAGTTAATTGACAATGAACACTTGTACGTATCTTGCAGACGAAAATGCTTGAATTTTGAGACATCTAAAGAGACCAACACTCTCTTTTATCATCTTAATTGGAATCTTAATAAACGACCTTTATTGCATAAACGATAATTTGGGTTGAATGGAGGCTATCCAAAGTGCGAAAAGTTACATGGGTAGGTGTTAAATAAACAGATAATCTTAAAAATAATTTCTAACAGTTTCCACCAACATACAGCTTGGAATCGTTCGTTCCAAGCGATTGACTAATAAACAACCAAACAAAAACAAGCATTCGGAAGCACAAAAAACTTCAAACTTTTGCCTACGCCACACAGCTTGGTACTTTGTTCCTCCTTTTTAATTCCTTGTTTCATGCCCCTATTTCTGTGTTTTCTTAATAAAACACATCCAAACGTAAACATAATAACCTCTAACGTGTCACAACAAATATAATTAAGTTTAGATGTTTTATCCTATAACGGTGTTGAAACAATTAATTCGTTCAAAGATCAAATCAAATAGTTAAAATCAAAAGACATCATTACCTGAAACAATGAACTTTAGAAGTGTTGCATGAAACTTTACGATAATAATTATATAAACCAAGTGAGTTACTTTTTAGTTCAAGATAAATTTTTTTATACTCATCAAGTGATCTGGATATGTCATTTTTTCAAAAGATATAAGGTTTGAGCAGTTACGTCTACAAGATGCATATATATTAAATAAGTTATGAATACATATTTCTCTTGTAATTACCTAAACTATTAAGAAAAGGATATTTTTTTCTTAGAAAAACAACTGCTGAAAATTCAAAGAAAAGAAAAAAGATTTAGGGTTCAACAACATGTGATGTGCTTAAATACTTCGGGTCTTTCTTGTACGATAAGAATTAATTAGTTTCCTTCATATTGTCTTCCTCTTATTTATTTTATATAAGCCAAGTCATAAATTAGAAAAGTTACTTCATGAATTTTCTAATTATCATAAAAATAATAATAAGGAAAACTCAAGAATTTACTTCAACAGACAACACTGGTGGTGTGCTGATTTGAAGATAAAAATTGCACACCAAAAGTATAATAAATATTCATAAAATTGAAATCCTATAACCTTTAAATATTATTTCGTGATACTATGAATGATATTTGTCCTAAAGATATTATGCATAATACTGTCAGTCATTAATCTACTCTCTTCCAACATCTAATTAAACTAACAAAAACGATCTATATATTATCCACTAGCTTGTGCGTGGTGATATATGTGGACGACTAATAATTTATCGGTAAATTATTAAATTTTCAAGTAGATATATTGACAATATAAGTTTTTTCTTTAATTTTTATATCGATTTTAGTTTTAGTTTTTTAATTTTTAATGATTTTATTTTTATAAAATGTTTTTCTCTATCTTTATGGGAAGTTTTTCTTTGTTTTATGGAATGTTTTCATTCGCTTGACAGTTGTTTTAGTTAATATTTTTCCTCAGGTTTAGAATTGATATCGTCACGACTGATCAATATGATGTTTATTTGTTATCATGTTGATTTTTCCTGCTTTGGACCCTAGGATTAGATTTGGATACATAATTTGCGCTCGTTAATGTTTTTTTTCACGTCGCTCGACTCTAATTTACGATTTGTCAATGGTGTTTTCAGTAGCTTAATCTCATTTTGTGATTTGTTTGTTGATGTGATCATACATGTTTATATCTATATTTTATTTTAGTATTTTATTTAGGTTTATAACATTTTCCTTATATGGTCATTGTATGATCTTAAATAACTAATGTTTATGTTAATTGTTATAGAAAAATGTTCTAATTATATATTTAGTTTACATTTATGATTATAAACATTCATTATAATTTTAAATATTTTTTCTTTTTAATAAAAAAATTTAACAGTTTCTATAAAAAAATCTTCATATTCTTTTTAATTTTTTTTAAAGAAATATTATTTTAATTTTAAAGAAAAGATAATTATATTTAATCACACGCGAACTTATAATCTCATGAATAATATAAAATGACGCCGTTCGGTTTAATGTTTAATTTAATATAAAAAATCTACTCGTATGTACCAAAGAATTATCCCATAATTCAATTCAGAAAATAGAAATACCAACACTTCTTTAATTGAAAATTTAACCACTGTATTTCTCAATTTTAATGCTTTAGATTTATTTTAATAATAAATAGAGTATAAGGGGGACATTCTTATAAAAGAATGTACTTCCGAAATGATTTGCTATTCGAAAAATATCGTATTAACTAAGTTTTTACATCAAATGGTGGTAATTTTCTTGTACTAATAAATTATTAAGTTTAAAACAATAGTACAACATTTATCGAAAGACGGACCTCTTAAAAAATAATTCAGAACATAATGTTTTAAAAGTTATACCTGCTATTAATTTATCATAATTTATGTAAAAATATACAAATTATTAATACAGTAAACCCATTATGTTACAACAAAAACACATCAATATGGATACATAAATTATGAGAGTTAAATGAAGATTAAAAGTAAAATAAAATATGATAAGGTAATAACTTGTATATGATAAAAAATATATAATAAATTAATAAAATATACAAGTTATCAGTATAACTAATCAAGGTGACGTTTATTTGTTATTATGATGATCTTTCATGCTTTGGATCTTCGAATCGAATTTGGATACATAATTTGTGTTCGTGTATAGTTTTCTCACATCGCTCGACTCTTTTATCAATAGTCTTTCAGTTGTTTGATACACTTTTATGATTCGTTTGTCTTTTTTTAGTTAGATTTTTTAACATTTTTATGATCTTTGTGTGATTTTAAATAGTTAGTTGCTTGTATTAATGGTTATAAGAAAATGTTGTTATCAATGAATATTTAGAGTTGTGCATAAAATCATATATTATGTATGGAATATAGAAATATTTGATAATGAAAAATAAAAGAGAAGGGGTAACATTTGTCTCAAAAGTAGATGTTATGTATTTGGGAAATAAAAAAGAAAGTCCTCACGTTGATCCTTATATGATTCTAATGGCGGCTACTACGCCGTTGGCCTTGGCTTGATTATTTTAATTTCTCTCCTATTTTTCTATTATTTTTCTTTGTTTCTTTCTTCTCCCTCTTTCTCTTGTAGTAATAAAAGGCCAACTCAAGTTGAGCAAATAAAAAGTAAACATATAAGCCAAGGAGAGGAGAAACTATCTCTTGTTCCTTGTTCTTCTTCTTCTTGAAGAACCATGGAGGCGGTGTTGTTTCAGTGGCTGAAGCTAGTGCTCGTCTCTGTCATGGTGGTGGTGCTGGTTTTAAAACTGTGGGTGTTGCTTTGGTGGCGACCGAGGAAGATCGAAGACCATTTCTCAAGGCAAGGGATCAAAGGTCCCCCTTACCATTTCTTCATTGGGAATGTTAAGGAACTTGTGGGGATGATGTTGAAGGCTTCTGCAACTCCCATGCCTAATTCCTCTCACAATATTCTCCCCCGAGTCCTCTCTTTTTACCACCATTGGAAGAAAATCTATGGTACTCTTTTCATCCATCCTTCATTTTTATTTTTGTTTTTTCAGGATTGGGGTGTTTTTTTTATATACTTTACAGCTTTTTTTCTGATGTTTCAAGTTCAGAGCTTTTGGACGCTTCTTCTCTTTCTCCTTCTTTTCTTGCACCCTTTACTCCTTACATATATACGTATAAAAGAACTGCAGTGTTTTTGCAATTGTCTGTCACTCATTAATTTATATATTTTTACAATTCAAACACATTCGGTAAAAACAAATTACTGTGATAGAATTAGGTAAATTTTGTGAGTCATGAAGGCTGTTGTTTAGTTTCATCACCTTTGAACTGAATTGCAGGTGCAACATTTCTTGTGTGGTTCGGTCCCACGGTTCGATTAACAGTGTCGGACCCTGATCTCATAAGGGAAATCTTCATCTCCAAATCCGAATTCTATGAGAAAACCGATGCGCACCCTTTGATTAAACAGCTTGAAGGTGATGGCCTGCTTAGTCTCAAAGGTCAGAAATGGGCTCATCATCGCAAAATCATTACCCCCACTTTCCATATGGAAAATCTCAAAGTAAGCTTAAGCTCTCCATTATTAACAAAATCCCATCATCATTATTCACTTTTTTAACTATTCCAATCCATTTTTCTTATTGTAGTTGCTTGTGCCGGTGATGGCACAAAGAGTGACCGAGATGCTAGACCAATGGTCGGCAATGTTGTCCGACTCCGGCGACATCAAAATCGACGTTTGCGAATGGTTCCAAACACTCACCGAAGATGTCATTACGCGTACCGCGTTCGGGATCAGTTACGAGGAAGGGAAGGCCATATTTCGTTTACAAGCTCAAGAATTGGTGCTTGCTGCCGAGACATTTCAAAAGGTTTTCATCCCTGGCTATAGGTAAACATAGAATTCGAGTTTTTTTTAGTTTGTTGAGCCAACTCAATAGTAGAATATACTATTATTCTTTTTAAGAATTCTGCAGCAACTAGCTGCGGTTATATGATATGTTCATTAAGAAAGATTAATTTATTAATTTCAGATTTTTACCTACGAAAAGGAACATAAGGTGTTGGAAATTGGACAAGGAGATAAAGAAGTCGTTGATGAAGCTAATCGAACGTCGGAAAATGAAAGCAAGGAACGTAAAGGAGGAAGAGGGGGCGATGGATTTGCTGGGATCATTGATCGAAGCATCGTATTCAAGTCCGAATATGACTGTCCACGACATGATTGAAGAGTGCAAGAGTTTTTTCTTTGCAGGCAAAGAGACCACATCCAATTTGCTTACGTGGACGACTGTTTTGCTATCAATGCACCCAGAGTGGCAGGTGCAAGCACGTGATGAGGTGTTAAGGGTGTGTGGATCACGTGACTTACCCACCAAAGATGATCTTGTCAAGCTTAAGACGGTAAAGCCCCCCTCTGAATTAAACACAATTTTCATGTCTTTTGTCTCTTTGCTCTTCCTTCTTTTCCTTTTTCTTCTAAAATTGTCCTAATTTCTTTTAGGATAAACTACACATTTTATATCTCAATTATTAATTTTGTTTCGTTTTTATCATCTGATTATTTTTTTTAAAATTATATCAAACGTTAAATTTTGACTTTATTTTGATTATGATAAAAATAATAGTTGATATGCTAAAAGTATAATTTATCCCTTTTTAATGATTATTTTCACTTTTAACTAATTATATGTTCCGTTGTGCAGCTGTCTATGATATTAAATGAATCACTTCGTTTATACCCGCCAGTAATAGCCACAATCAGAGAGGCCAAATCAGATGCTAAGCTTGGGGGTTACATGATCCCTCGTGGGACCGAACTTTTGATACCAATCTTGGCCGTTCATCATGATCAAACCATATGGGGCAACGATGCCAATGAGTTCAATCCGGGTCGGTTCTCCAAAGGCGTGGCGAGTGCAGCAAAACATCCGGTCGGGTTCATCCCGTTCGGTCTTGGGGTCCGGACTTGCATAGGTCAAAACTTGGCCATTTTGCAAGCCAAGTTAGCCCTTTCTATCATACTTCAACGCTTCACCTTCCGGTTGGCTCAAACCTATCAACATGCACCTACGGTTCTTATGCTGCTTTACCCACAATATGGAGCCCCAATCATCTTTAAACCTCGATGATCAACGGTCCTAAATTAATCCCACACTTTCTCAGCTCTGTATCTTCAAACTAAATGTTCTATAACAATATATTTCTCACGACTACATTCATTTTTTCAAAATCTTTGTATATGATTTGAAAATTATAGTTTTATATTTATATCTAATAATCATCAAACAAAAGTAAAAAAAAAGTTTAGACAATTTAACACATAAATACATGTCTCTTGTATACTCGTTCTATACCAACATGAAATTTCATGGTAATTCTTTTATTAGTATGAGGTGATTACAAGATAATACATGTTTAATTATTTTTTTAAACTATTAAAATGCACACACACATGTTGTAGATGTGGTTGTTTGAACCAGAGACTTTTAGAGAGAATAAGATTCCTTTTACCACCGAATCACTCAATAAATTTAAATTCAATGGCCAATTTTTATTTATTTAAAAACTTTGACGTAATTTTTTTTATGGAACCTATAAGATAGGTTTAATACAATATATTTGACAAACTCTAGAAGGTTTAATACAATTGATGCAATTCCTTAATTAACTTAATTTTCATTTGTGCGTTTAAATTTTATTAACTTAGATCTTAATCTGAATTTACTCAAATTTAATTTAAATAGTTTGTGATGATTAAAAAGTAGTATCTATTCAGAATTTTCTTAATATATTAACATCACGTATACACCTTGCAGATATAATTATTCAAACTAAGATCTTCTAAGAATAACATTATTTCTTTTCACTATTGAGGCTCGTTGAGTTCTAAAAAGTTAATATTAAATCTTCAAGGAAAATATATAGTAGAAGACCCAAACATTGGTGTTTTTTAAGGGGAGATTTGATGGGAAACGGTAAAGGGTTCCCCAATGGTTCAAAGACCAACAAAGATGAAGTTTCGTAGGTGTTTTCAAAGTGTTCTTTGTGTCACTACAAAGATTAAAAAGGAAAGGACAAATTCCAGCACCCCAAGAAGGCATGAAATGTTGTTTTAAGCAAAGGTGAGTGGAATCCAGCATGCAAATGCATTTTTGTATATTTACACATACTTTTAATGTCTAGGGTAAACTACATATTTGGTCGCCCATCTATTACTTAATTTTTGTTTTGGTCACCTAATTATTTTTTTTAAATCATACCTAATATTGTATTTTTGGTTCTATTTTGATCATCCGTCGCTAAAAAATTAACAACGATACAGACGTTTCACCTTAAGGTAATGCTACATCAGCATTGAAAAATAATAAAATATCACATCAACATCACTGTTATTTTTTAATGATGTGTGATCAAAACATAACAAAAAACATAACATTAGATATGATTTAAAAAATAATAGTTTAGTGATAAAAAAGAACTAAGTAATAGGTGAGTGACCAAATTAATAATTTAACCTAATATTTATCATGTTTACGGGTTTAGGGGCCTTGTGTTGTAATTTATAGTGAGAAATAAGATATAATTTGTACTATTTTTTGGGATTTTCTCTTGCTCGTTAGAGGAGGTTTAATTATATAAGAATCTTGATATTTTAAAAAATAAAATAAATAAATAAATAAATAATCAAAGGAGCTCTAATTAAAGGATTTACTTGTCTCAAAGAAGCATGTGGTTTGTGTACATTTCAATGAGACATGCGCTTCCAAGAAATTTCAAATATATACAAATATAATATTTAATTTATTTATTTAGAATAAATCAATCTCCCCTCTAAAATACAATTATTTTCAATTTTTCATTTGTAAAATTCTAACTCAAATTCTATGTAGCCGTTCCCCATGATTAAATTAAACCCAAATTATAATTGTATAATAACTAACAATAATCCCTCCACTAATCCTACTCTTTAATTCTGCATTTGTTGTAACATCCCCAGACCGATGCGGATGACTCGATCCGATCTAATGTGTCACATTAGAGCCACATGAGTGACCCATCGTAAAAATAGCGAAAAATTTTAAACTTTTATTAAAACATGTAAACTCATAAAATCATTTATAAATACAAAAGTAAAATTTTCCAGTATTTAGAGAAAAAACAGATTTTAGACTCGTATATAAAACAAAATACAACATATATGTCCCCTAATCACATGTACCATACTCTGCAAGCAACGCCAGAAGAACTACCAACATGTTCCATAAAGCATGAAAAGGAAGTAATGTATTGCCTCGATTTCTGTGCTATATCGATCGACAATTTAATCGCCATTCGAACGCCCTCGATCTTGAAATCAACTTCCAATAATTCCTCAGATACATATCAACAGCAATTTTATAAAAAACGAAGATAATTGCGAAAAATGGATCGAATCGGGTGATTAATCAGTGAAAAACATATTACCGAGTTCGAATTTGGCAAAACGGACTCAAGACATCGAAAAACGTCACCGGGAAAAAGTCAACGACGATCAACGGTAGTCAACGCCGGTTAATGGTCAGTGCGGGTCAACGACTCAATCAGCTCGGCTCAACTCAGCAGCTCAGCTCAACGGCTCGGCTCAGACTGGTCCAGCCGATTCAACCGGTTCACCAAGCTTCCAGACAAGGCCCACGTGCAGGGGTGACGCGTGCGGCCTGTGCGGCGACTCCTGTTGTCAGTTCGGCGTGAAACTTTTCAGACTTGTAGATCGACAACCCGGGAGTCTCATGCAAGTGTTATTTTTCAACGAAACATAACAGATTGTAGAATTTTTTATTGTACCAACTTATCCGACGGTGATCAGTGAGTGAGGACGACGGAGCAACAACGACGTGACGATTTTGGTAGGGTTTTGAGCGTACGGTAACAGTGAGTCCGATGGTGTATGAGGTGTGATGAAATGGTGGCCGGATCGACCGAAATCGACGAAAAAAACAACGACGATCCAGTTAAAACCGATGAAGCTTTCGTTTGAGTTTTACGATGAACGACGTCGATTCACGATGCAATAAAGGTTGGGTTTTGTTCACAATTCGATGGTGAGTCTATTGGTGGTTTTGGATCGACGAACGATGGAGAATCGAGGCTACAAAGTTAGGTTGACGGGAAAGGAAATTGGGGAAAATTGGGGGCTTTGTTTCTGGTCTGTAACCAGAAACCAAACTTTAAACATTTCAATTTTATCTCTGTTGACACAAAATGGGCACATTTAGGGCTAAGTCCCTAAATTTCCATCACTTTCTAAAATGGGGTGCCAACTTTGGGATTTTACAATTTAATCCTTAATTTCTTCCAAAATACCACTTTAATTCAATACTTTAAAATTTCTAAAACTTAGCCCCAAAATTGGGGTGTGACATTTGTGATGTTTGTTAAGCATGTCTCCCACAACCTTACTATACGACAAATTCATCTCTCTATTGTTTGTTAAGCATATATCTCCCCCAACCTTACTATAATACACATTCAACATTCTTTTTCTTGTTTATAATGTTGTATTACATATCCCATTGTTCATTAATTATTCTCTTTATCATCCTATTTTTATAATGTTTGTCAGATTTATAATATTATTTTAAGGATAAATTATGCCAAATGTCATTAAATTTTAGGTTTAACATCAATTTTGTCATCTAACATTAATTTAATTCAGTTGTAGTAGTGAACTTTAGTCTAGACTTCAATTATAGATTTGGATTATTAACCCGTTAACAGCAGGCTGACATGGCAATTTGGTTTTGATGTGTAATGCTTCAAATAATGTAATAACAATAAATACAAACATACACTATCGTTATCAAGTAATAAAGTGAGTGCAATTAATGCATCGAGTATTGTATCCCAAAGAGACTAGTGATTACTAATGGAATTGTTGAACAACAAAGTATAAAAATGTGTGTAACTATGGTGGTGAACAATGCCAAGACAATATAAATGTAAACAAGATAAAAGTGAAAGGGATTTCAACACACGTAATGAAGTAATGGATCGATTAGGAAAAAGATTATGAGGTATTAAACATTCACATGCAATTAACGATACTGCAACAACCAGATCAATGTGTGTCAAGCATTACCCTAGTAGTTTATTTTTCTCTCGAAGGCAACAACATACAAAGAAAGTTAACATCTCTATACAACAATCTAAACAAGCTTGCTAAGGATGCTACGACAATCAATCAGCACAAATATCTTTATGCTAAACGCTGCTCTTAAAGAATTGATGCTACTCATAATGTAACACATCTCTCGACTCATTACTGGGTAGTTTGTATCTCTATAAACAAGCCAAACATAAAGTTCTAACAACACTAATCCAACCACTAAAGCAAAGTTAAATAAGCATGCATTTCATCAAGCACATTTCAAACACAATATTCAAGTTTAAGAAATCATCCACATAAAAACATTCAACTTAAACAAATATAGTTCCCTCCTAGATGAAACTCATCGATCGTCGGTTACCGTTCTCGCAACTGTAGCTACTCCACGTTAAAAAAATATCTTATAAATGGTTCTTATACATTAAAAAACAATATCTTTGTTCACTCAAGACTGTAATATTATTTTTTTCGTATTATATTATATCTTATAAATAAATATGATACTTATGAAAGTTATTTAAAAATATAAGTTTGATATACTAATTATAGTAATTATATGTCAAATGTATTTTTTTCCTCAAAAGTTAGATAGTGTAAGGATTAAAAAAATTTCTATGAATTTTCATTCAAATACTTGTAACTTATTATATATTTTTATTAATCTAAAGTGAGTATAAGACAATAATTATTCATAGATAACTTTCAAGTTTCAACCATTTGACATTGAACGCTCACACCCCTAACATTCATGGTGCTCGAACTCAAGACTTCAAGGAATAACAATAATTTCTTTACCACCAAGGTCACTTGGTTTGTGCATTTAAAATTTAATATTAGAGTTTAACTTGTTGGAAAAAAAACATATATCACAAGGATAATTTGGTAATATACGCATCCAAGTAAATCTTATATTTCTCTAAACAAATACTCTAATCTTACATTTTTGCTAAACAAACCAAACAATGTAATACAATATTCTCATAGTAATGTTACATCCTAACAATCTTATTCTCAAATATAATCTGACATTTCGTGAACGAAACGGCCAT